CATCCAACCACGTTTTAGCTGCTTTGACGGTGCAACCAAATCCATGAAGCCCCCATTTGGGGCCAGAAAAGTAAAAGATGAAATGGGCAAGAAAGGAATAAAGCGCTCTTACAACAACCTCTGATTCTTATCTTTATTTCGTGATAAATGAATTACATGGTTTTGAATCATTGATTCCGAATTTATTGCCTCAATTTTATTTTATTCAACTTTTTTATTTATATATCGACTAATGATTTAGGGTTCGATGTAATAATTTATTTTTTTTTGAAGCCTTTAGAGATAAAAGCGTTCTTTTTAGCATTTTTTTTTTCCAACATTAAGATTTTTTTTTAATCCAGAAATATAGAGAAATAATAATAATAATCATGGCGGAGACAAATCCAAATACACTGCCTTGGAAAATTAATACCCACGAAATCAATCGAAGTTGGAACATTTTATCTGCTAAGCATTTCAATTACCTGGTAAAACACCAAAATGCAGGGCTAATAATTGAACTCAACTACTAGTCACTGCTCCATGGACCAATGACTTGGAAGATCAAAGCCAAGTTTAATTTAAAAATTAGAACTTTATTAGGCATTTAATCTGTGAACATCTCACTAATTAATCATCACATAGCAAGATCAGCTAGTAGAGCTACGAAAAAACAATCAATTTAATTAGTGTTGTAACAAATCACAATCAATATATATACATATATATATATATATATATTAAATTAAGAAAAATCAAGAAATAACACAAAAAATATGACGAATAGATTTTGATGAATAAATTTTACTATGCAGAAAAAAAATAAAAAATGGAGATATATAAGTCTCTCAAACTCTAACCTCGATCAAAACACCATTTTTTACTCTCTCGATTTCAAGAATTTCACTGGTTTTTATTTATTTATTTATTTTTTTTTCAAGAGAGAGATATGAACATGTACGTATATCATTGTCCTAATACTCAACAATTTAGTATTGCATAGCCGTTATCGGAGTATTGAATATTTTTTACTAGACCTTGAACTTGAATATATTTTCCTAAACCCTGAACTTGATTTATTAGGGGAAAAAAAAATATTAATTACGACTTTAATATCTGATTCAAAATTGGCACAGATAAAATATAACGTGGTTTTTTCTTTTCTTATTTTCCAGTTTTTCATAGCCCATTTCTTTATCTTTTTAGTTTTTCATTTATAGTTGTATCATATATTTTTTTCTTCCTCTTCACATCAAATTTAATGGTACTCAAATATAAGAATTTGATTTGTACAAAATCTACAACAAAAATTACAATGTTTTTTTCTAATTTTTCAATACTTTTATATATATAATAGATACATGATTTGATATACATGGTGATTAAATTTTAATTGCCGATAAAGATATTAAATTGGGATTGCAACTTTTTAAATAATTAATTATCTTATATATATTTTAAAATGGGTTCCATTATATTTGACATATAGATAGTCACATAAATTCAAAAAAGTAGTAACTTTTTATTTGTCGGTCTAAATAGCTGGACTCTTTGTTAGGACCAAAAAGTTGGATAATTAATCGAATTTCTACAACAATAGCAACTCTAAAAATGCATGTGGACATGAAGAACGAGCATGCTCCTTACCTCATTGTATCTGTTCTTTTTTCTTTCAAATCTTCTAGAATTATTTTGACACTAGTCAAATTAACTTTTATCTAAATGACAACCCAAAAATGAAGTCAAAAAAAAGATAAAATCAAATTCCAAACATAGCAAAAGGGATCCTCAAATTAGTAGTATTATTGATGAATCTATAAGTTACCCTTTTAAATAGGCTTGAGTTGCGAACAACTGCAGAATTTCCTCTCTTTAATTGCATTTTTCTCATAACACAATCATATCCCTTTGGTGGTGAACAAATTTTGATGCGACACGTACACTTACGTTCAAATCTTTTTCAATAGAGTAGTTATTTTAATTTATTTTTTTTCCTTACACAACTTTCTTACCAAATTGTCGGTAATTCAAGTTGTTTTCATGTCTAACCAATAACTAACTTGAGCTGATTCATCGGATGGTTTTTCTTTTTTGTTTTCTTTTCTTATTTGTCGTTTCATCGGATGATTTTTCGAAGCTCAACATGGTGGGGACTGTCTACCTCAGAACAGACAGATTTGAGGTTAAGCTTGAAGGCATTACCTTCAAAGCCAAAGATTTTGAATCTCTATGCTGCATAGATTTCCTTTTCCCGGAGGGAAAAGTTCGCGTTCACCGGCCCATTGTAGGCCTGGATGTCATGCACCACCCTCGGGACCCTAGTGTTGCTCTGCTGCTCCTCTGCCTCGGAACAGGGTGCGTGATCATCCGGTTTCGTGCAAAGCAAATGCTGCCAGACACGATCACAAAGTTCCTCAACGACGAAAGAATTTGCTTCGTGGGGTTTGGAATCCACGAGAACAAAGAGGTGTTCCCGTTGGAACAATTGGGAATGACAAAGAATGAAGTGTTGGATGTAGGTCACTTGGCTGCCAAGTTTCTTGATGATCCAAAGCTGAAGAAATGTGAGTTAGCAGAATTGGCGCGTAGGGTTCTCCGGATCAATAACATGGTGGGACTCACGGAGGCTTGTTCATACCATATACACCAACAGATCAAGATTTGTATATGTGAGCTCTTCATTTCTAGTGTGATTGCTATGATGCTTTTGGATCCAAACAATAAGAACAGGTTTTTGGGATCTCCGAAGAAAAGCTTGGGTGATGTCAAGAAATTGGATTTGCCCAAAATGTCCACACTCCAAAGCATGAGCTATGATGATCATCACGATCACGATCACGAGTATGGCGACGGTGTTTGGGGGCACGACGAAGACAGGAAAGAGTACTTTGCAGGCGATGATCATTCCGGGAAGGTGGTGGTTTCCGTGAGTAAAAAGCCTCTGAAAGGGATCTTGAAATCCCCTTCTTTTAATTTTTCTGAGCCTACTTCTCCATCCAATTCCAAGGCTTCTTCTACTCAGACTAGTTTCTCATCTGCATGCACATCCAAGGGACAACAAAATGGTAAATGTTCAATGCTGAAAAGAGCTAACTCAAAGGGGCACAATGTGTCTTTTGTATAGGTGGTGGTTGTGTGAGTTAGCATTGCGTGTGTACACAAGACTTGAAAACCATGAGCTCTTGCAAACTCTTGTCCTACAATATTAATGATTGTTGCTAAGAGTTCTATTGATTTAGCACTCTCTGTGACTTCATTGATTTAAAATTTGGGTTAGAATTGTGGAGCAATAAGAGCAATTATTGGATGTGAAATGTAAATACTAGCTTCTTACCATCTCATGAGGGGGTAGAAGCCTTCGTTCTTTAGCTCCTTATGGTAAATAATTGGCCTTTACTTGTAAGGAATTATATATTAATTGGTCATTTTATATTTGTATGATATTATGAGGATTAATCATTGATGAATCTGTTCTTTGATGTCCGGTTTCTTATGCATAATATATCGCTGAGCACATGTAATCCTCCATCCGATCCGATATGTACAAACACAAGAAATTTTTTATATGTTGTCCGAAAAGAATTCGAACTCTCAAATGAAATTCAATATGATTGCAAATGTATATGATTTCACCAGTGGGGCTTGTCCTTCTTGGTGATTTAATACGATCGCAAATGTATTTGGATAACAATATGAAGAATAAAATAGTAAAATTTTGATTAGGCTTGCGAAATAATGATATATTTTACGAATTTAAAGGATGTGGAATAAAAGATATGAAGTTTATGTCACCCTCAGCATCTTTAAATTAATAGATTCTATCATTTATTTATACAATATTCAGTGATTATGCCATATGTCATATAATATTCAATTGTGGAAGGATAAGTAGCTCACCTTTTTTTCAAAGTCAATTAAGCATCAAGGATGACAAATCAAATTGCTTTTGGCTTCTCTCATTGAGTGAGAGATAAGATGCCTTTTAGTCCCAACAAACTAATGACTAGCATGAGTTTGTCTCTTCCTTTCAATTAGTCTTCAAAAAGTTTTTCTAACTCAAATATTGACAAAATATCACACGTCCTCGTTTCACGAACCGAAAGGTAGGAAAGTTCATGAATAAACAATAAATTATTTGAATTCATGAAATACTGGTAAAAAAAAACTCCGAAAAATATTATTAGTTAATAAATAATTTGTTTCATATGGTACACATATATATAATGAAAAAATTCATAAAAAAACCTACCACAATTTTGAACCCTAAGATTCGTTTGGCATGTGATGTGTTTTAGTCATTATGTTTTTTATCAATATTAAAATAATCGTTTTTGTTTTTTTTTAGTAGTATTTTGGGTAAAAATTAAAACCATATTTGATAATGAAAATTTATTTTGGGAAATTCAAAATTTTACTTTATTTCCTCTGCTATTATAAAAAAAATACATAATATCACCAATTTGATGATATGAGTTTGGAACAAAAAAATCTGATATATTATGAACTATTCCAAACCAATAACAACTGTCCCAACACATGATATGAACCCAAATTTAAATATCAACATCAAAAAAATAATACTATAATGCATGCCAATCGAACCCTAAACGATGAAAATTTAACCTAAAAACAACAGCTATTAATCTTAACTTAAAAACAACAGCTATTAATTTTTACGAGTTGACCTGTATTTGATGGAGTCTTTTCGAATCGAAACCGACCTTTTAAATTATACCAGAAAATTGTGTTAGCTTTCCACCATCAGTTTTTGATCATCATTCTCAATACTTTACTTGATTAACCAAGATACGCCTCTTCATACGACTCTTTTCCACTTATCTTTTTATAAAATTTCTTATTTTCCCAAGATTTTTCTCTCTGTGGATATCACTTGTCAACCAAAATACGCCTCTTCATACTAATTTTATCCACACGTGTTCTAGGTAGAAAGTTTCTACTAAATTTCATCTTTTCTTTAGACTTTTCTCTCCTCAGCTGTGGATATCATTTTAGTTACTGTAGGTGGTCTAGAATAAGACTTCATTGTCCCAAACCTATCCATCCAACTATAAATCCAAGGGAGCTGCAGGGCAAATCTGTGAGGAACTGAGGATAGGAACTACAAATTCATGGATCCCAATCATGGCGAAGAATCGAGTGAGCTGTTTCGAGCTCAAGCTCACATATATAAGCATACATTCGCTTTTGCAAATTCATTATGTCTAAAATGTGCTATTCAACTAGGCATACCAGACATAATTCACAACCATAAGCATCCCATTACTCTTCCTGACTTGGTCACAGCACTTCAACTTCCTCCCGCCAAAACCAGTTATCTTCACCGGCTCATGCGCTTGCTAGTGCACTCTGGCTTCTTTGCTACGACGAAAATTCATGAAAATCAGGAAGAGGAGGAAGAAGAAGGGTATGTTCTCACTCCATCTTCTAAGCTGCTCCTCAAAGACGAACTCACCAGCTTGTCTACGTTTGTGCAAGCCATTGTTGATCCACTTTTACTCTCTCCATGGCAAGTATTGGGAGATTGGTTTAGAGGCAATGAACTCACAGCATTTGAAACTGCGCATGGAGCTAGCTTATGGGACTCTGTGGACAAAAACCCTCAACTTAACAAGCTTTTAAACGACACAATGGAGAGTGATTCGGGATCAATGAGATTGGCTCTTAGAAGCTGCAAGGAAATATTTGGGGATTTGGGTTCTTTGGTTGATGTAGGGGGTGGCACAGGAACCATTTCTCGGATCATTTTGGAGGCATTCCCTCATATAAAATGCACAGTGCTTGACCTCCCACATGTCGTCGCCAACTTGCCGGAAAGTGAGAACTTGAAGGTTGTTGCAGGAGATATGTTCCTGTCTATCCCTCCTGCCGACGGCATTCTGATTAAGGTATGCATTTTCTTCTTCCTTGGATATCGTTTTGTCTATGGCCTAGTCGATAATATAAGGCTTGTTTGGTTCAGTTTCCGTGACTTCTTTTCTCTTTTATGAGAACTGGCATGCTTGGTTGACAGTTTCTTAGGACCTTTTTTTTTTTTTATTTTATAAAATCAATTAAAAAATTATTTATATTTAAATAATTATAAAAAACAATTATATTAAAATAGTTTCTGTATTTAGATTTCTGAGTTAGAAACTAAGCATGCCCGTAGAGTTTGCGAGCAAAAATTAAATTGGTTATACATACTCCTTGTATCAAACAAGTTATCACCTATTATACCATTTAAGTTGCATTTGGAAGCGTTGAATTAGGACTTCAAAATTGCTACTCCAATTCAAGGAAACAATTCCGTCCTCCCAAACATAGCTTTAAATTATTTGTTGTTTGTAACATTTTTCATCTTTACTACCCAAAATATGCACCAAGAGGATCATAAACATATTACTAAGGGCTTAAATTAAAAATAATAATAATAACCATCAAACAAGAAATAGTCATAGGGAAGAACAAAACAGTTGATGATTTTTTTATGACTTTGGGAAAACATTCAGTTGTAATAAATAGAAATTGAATTATGTTTTCAAGAGTTCTGATGATGAAGGTGATTGATTGGCAGAGTGTTCTGCATAATTGGGGAGATGAGGATTGTGTGAAGATACTGAAGAAATGCAGGGAAGCTATTCCAAGCAAAGATGACGGTGGAAAAGTGATCATCATAGACACAGTCATAAATGGCGAAAGAGATGAGCATGGCATGACTGAATTAAAGCTTGTGTTTGACATATTTATGATGGTTTTGGTTAATGGAAGACAGAGGAATGAGAAAGAATGGGAAACACTCTTCTTGGAGGCTGGTTTTAGTAGCTACAAGATAACACCCATCTTTGGTATAAGGTCCCTTATTGAGGTCTATCCTTAAAAGAGAGATTTAACTGTGCATTGTGAGCCTTATATGTTGTAAACTTTGTTATGAACAATAATAATGCTTTACATTTTACATTTCACCAAAAAAAAAACAAAAAAACAAAAAAATTAAATAAAAAATAGAATGCTGTAGCTTGAAAAAATGTATTGAAGTGTCCACTCTTCAATTATGTATTTTAATAAAAACTTGTTAGCATATTGAGTTGTCTTCACCTTTTCTTGATTTGTGCTGTGTCCAAGCTAATGTTCTACCATAGTTACTTTGAGTTGTCACTATAATGCTTGCCAATAATTCTCATATTTTTTTGAAGAATATATGGTTTTTAAATTTGATTTCTTCTTTCCTTGGGCAATATATGATTGAATTAATCTAACTATTATGTATTTTTAGTGCGGGCGTTTGTGTGCGTGTGTGTGTGTGTGTGGAAGGGGCCCAGGGGGATAAGCTCTGACAAGGGTCCATAGACTTTTACAGAAATCTGAGCTAGGTTGCTATGTTTTAAACCATTTATTGGACCGCTTCCCTAGGATTGCAAACAATTCTTATCCACTCACTTAAATCCAAGCCTCTGGGAGGAGAGAGATCTCAAGAGAAGTTGTGAGAGGGACAGTGTAGAGAGGGAAACCGAAAATTCAAGAGAGAGGGAGCTTTTTTTTTTTTTTTTTTTTTTTTTTTTTCACATGCACATACATGATATTGAGATTTAAATCTCTGATATTTTTTTAAATAATAAGAGCTTAATACCGCTAAATCGTCAATTCGTTGATAACAATTCTCTTATCTCACTATTCTTGAATGAGATCCATTCTTCAAGAGTGCGGGATTTATTTATTTTTATTTTTATTTTTTATTAATTTTTTTCATCCACATACATGAGATTTGAATCTCTAACCTTCTTTTCAATAATAAAGATCTGATATCGTTAAATCTCCGATCGATCTATAACAATTCCCTTATCTCACTCTTCTTGAATGAGGTCCATTCATCTGATTCACATTAAGACTTTTCTTAAAGAATTAAAGGAATTTTCCAAATCGAAAGTAGACAAAATTTCAATTCTTGCCTGAGCTAGATAAACTTCATCCGAAAATTTTCATGTATAGTACATATATATATATATATATATATTTTTCCCTCTCCTGTACTTCACTTTCCTGCATAATTTTTTCTTAAAACAATGTTGACCTAAGTCCGCATAATTTTCTTAAAATAATGCTAGAGGGACCCAAGCCTTCAGCAGAAATCTTTATAGGTTGCTCAGTGGCTGGTTTTATATTTATTGAATTGTGAAAAAGTCGGTCATTTTCATTAATACATTATTGATTTTGTAAAACGATGTCAGCCACATAGTATCACCGTTGCAATCTATAGGTTATAGGACTTTTCTTATCAACCATTCCCGTCCAACGACTTTGAATATTTATTAATAGCAGCTCCATGACTAATGTGTGAGGAACCAGTAAGGAAAAAAGGAAGTACAGAATTCATGGATCCCAATCATGGTGAAGAATCAAGTGAGTTGTTACAAGCTCAAGCTCACATCTACAAACACATATTCAACTTTGCGAATTCCATGTGCCTTAGTTCTGCTCTTCAACTAGGCATACCAGACATCATTCACAACCATAAACAACCCATTACTCTTCCCCAGCTAGTCACAACACTTCAGCTTCCTCCCACAAAAACCAGTCATGTTCACCGGCTCATGCGCTTATTGGTGCACTCTAATTTCTTCGCTACCACGAAAATTCATGTAAATCAAGAAGAAGAAGAAGAAGAAGGGTATGTTCTCACCCCATGTTCTAAGCTCCTCCTCAAAGATGAACTCATCACTTTGGCGCCATTTGTTCAGGCAATGGTTCATCCGGGTCTATTCACTCCATGGCAGTTCTTGGGAGATTGGTTTCGGAGCGATGAGATCAATGCATTCGAAACTGCACATGGGGTTAAGATGTGGGAATTTGGAGATCAAAACCCCGAATTCAACAACATTTTCAATAAGACTGATTGTTGGAGACTGCAAGGATATATTTGGAGAGTTGCATTCATTGCTCGGATTGTTTTGGAGGCGTTCCCTCATATCAAATGCACAGTATTTGACCTCCCACAAGTTGTCGCCAGCTCTCCAGAGAGTGAGAACCTGAATTATGTTGGAGGAAATATGTTTCAGTCTATCCCTTCTGCAGATGCCATTTTATTCAAGGTTTACATTTTCTTCCTTTGTGAAATTTGAGAATTAACTTATTTGTTCTTTTAAAATTATTTTGCTGTATTACCTAAAATTTGTGCCAAGGGGATTTTTAATTTATTTCCAAACTCAGCTATTGTTTATGGAATAGTAATAGGAGAGGACTTGTTTTCCAAATTTTGAAAAGTTCTGAAATTGTTAAATTTAATTTAAAATTGAAAATAGTGAGAAAAATTTAAGAAAAAAGGGAAATTATGTTATGTTGTAAGAATTTCTGATGGTGAAGACAAGTGATTGGCAGTGTGTTTTGCATAATTGGAGCGACGAGGATTGTGTGAAAATACTGAAGAGATGCAGAGAAGCCATTCCAAGCAAAGGTGGAGGGAAAGTTATTATCATAGACATGGTGATAAATGGTGAGAAAGATGAACATGACATTGCAGAAACAAAGCTCGTCTTTGATATACTGATGATGGTTCTGGTTAATGGGAGAGAGAGAAATGAGACAGAATGGGAGAAACACTTCCTGGAAGCTGGTTTTAGTAGCTACAAGATAACACCCATCTTTGGTTTAAGGTCAGTTATTGAGGTTTTTCCTTAGAGAGGCTTAATTATGTACCGTGTACCGTGAGAGCCTAATGAATAATGAACCTCTCTTTATGGCTATGGAAGTGTCTACTTTACAATTATATATGCATTTTAAAGAACTTATGATACCATGATGGTGTTACCAGTCTACTCATACAGATAGGTTAAAATTAAGGGAACCTGTTATGACTCAATACTTCCATATCATGAGAGTAAGTGTGGTGGCATTTAGTAGGAATTTGGATCCTCCCGTGTGCACTGAATTGACTTGAAAAAGCCTAATTATTTTTAGTTGTCTAATTAAAAATATCTAGCTTTTTTTTCGTTTTTTCTTTCCTTGTTATATTTTGTTTTCCGGTGATATTGGGTTAGCTGGTTATGTGACATGATCTTCAATAACTAAAATTTAGCATTGTGTTCCATTATATATTTCAGCCTCGATTTCTAAATGCGTAGACACGTTTTGAAAATCATAAAAACGAAGAATAAACAAATTTATACAAGACGGATTGGATCCTGACAAACATAAACATGAAGTAGAGAAGTGAAACTCATGAATCTTGGACTCAACCCAAAGTATTTGCCCAGTAAAATGCACCTCCAATTACTAAAATGAGAATATCATCCACTAATTTCACAAAACTAGGACCTTAAAGTACAAATATGGTAGGTCATAAACTAAAGTTATAAGGAGGGGTAGTTATAGGATTTCAATTAAATAGTAGGAGGAACTTTTAAAAAATAAACAGTAAAAATCCATGTTCACATATGCTTTGGTCAAAATTCATGACTTTAAGAGCCTAATGAATAATGAACTTATTTATGGCTATGGAAGCGTCAACTTTACAATTATATATGTATTTTAAAAAGCTTATGATACCATGATGGTGTTACCGGTCTACTCATGCGGATAGGTTCAAATTAAGGGAACTTTTTATGACTTAACACTTCTATGTCATCAGAGTGAGTGGTGGCATTTGACTCCAAAAAGCCCAAATATTTTTAATTGTCTAATTATTTTAGTCATTTATGGATTTATTCTTGCGAAAATTGTGTGGCCAGTCTAAACTTGTGTGGCCAGTCTAAGCTAATGTTCTACCATAATTCTTTTGAGTTGTCCCGGCAGTGTGTGCCCATCATTCTCATATTTTTCGACATAGTGATCCATCTTTCTGAAGAAATATTTGGCTTTTTTTATTTTTTTATTTTTTTCGTTTCTTCTTTCCTTGTTAGATTTTGTTTTCCGGTGATATTGGGTTAGCTGGCTATGTGACATGATCTTCAATAACTAAAAATTAGCATTGTGTTCCATTCCATATTTTAGCTTTAATTTTTAAATGTGTAAACACGTTTTGAAAATCATGAACACGAAGAATAGACAAATCTATACAAGGCGGATTGAATCCTGACAAACATGATGTAGAGAAGTGCAACTCATGAATCGTGGACTCAACCCAAAGTATTTGCCCAGTAGAATGCACCTCCAATCCAATTGTTAAAATGAGAATATCATCCACTAATTTCACAAAAGTAGGACCTCAAAGTACAAATATTGTAGATCATAAAATAAAGTTATAAGTAGGGGAACTTAGGAGATTTTAGTTAAATAGTAGGAGGAACTTTTAGAAAATAAACAATGAAAATCCATATTCATATCATACTTTCGTCGAAATTCATGACTTTGAAAATCGTTACTTGACTCTAGGTAAATAATCTCCCAAAAGTCCACTTTTATATAATTTTTTCTCCAGTCAAAGTTGTAACTTTAAAAAGTGTGGACTTTAACTCTGGGTAAATTGATTTTCAAAAGTCCACTTTTCTATAATTTTTTCTTTTTTATTTGATAAACAATAATAAAGGTGATTTCACATAGTACTAAAACTAATATTTACTTTCACATTCACTATCAAACCACTAGCTTAAATTCATCCACGTACTGAATTGGAGGTTCACCCAAATAATATCGAATAATAAGTTTTTCATAGCCTTTTGTCAATATTATAATCCTGATGCACACATGTGATACACCTCATCCAAAACAAATTTAAATTTACATTCGTTTTCTTATATAGTTGCACAAATACTAGCCCAGTCCAAACAATCTGCCAAATTCACTGTTTAGATTTGGCACTCTGATCATGTGGACTCCTCATAAATGTTTGAGATTTTATCTATTAGTACAGTTATAGGATTGAATTATTTATTCCCTATTTTAGGACTAATCGATAAATAATTAATTACCTATTTTAGCTAGGTCCTATTGTATAAATTGAATGTAACATCATAAGTGAAAATATAGAATATAATTTCAATCCTTATATTTTTCTCTGAATTGAAACATGATATCAAAGCTCAGGTTTGAACCCGTACCTTTAAATCGTTTTTGAACCATATCTTTGAAATTCATTGAACCATACATTATTTTTATTTTTTATTTCTTATTGAACCATACATTCCCATCATATGTCAAAGAACCACTCCACCATCATCACCCCGTCATAGACCCAACCAAAATTTTGACCCACGCCATCATCATCAATCACAGATCCCCATTTTTGGACCAATCAAACTACAGAGGTTCACTTGCATTTGCAGCAAGGTAAAAATCACTTACTATGCACTGTCCCCATTGCGAATCGCTGCCGCCATCGCGCTGTCCACCGGCTGCATTATCCCCATTGCGAGCCATCGCTTTCCCCATCGTAAAAAATATTGAATCATCTGGAGCAGACAAGTCTACCTACAAATGCACTCATTGCAACCAGACTGGTCATACCAAAAGTCGCTGTTTCAAACTTGTGGGATATCCGGAATGGTGGGATCATCGCCGTTGGAAACAGAATTCAACGAAGACCTTTACTGCAGCAGTTGTTAAGACAACAGATAATGGTGGTAAGGTTTTCAATATTTCTACACCTGTTGCTAATAGTGTATGAATAATTGATTTTGGTGACACAAATTATATGACATTTGATTCTAGACAGGTCTTACCTTTTAATTCATCCTCACACAAATTTGTTTGCATGGCCAATGGACTTCGACCCCAGTTCTTGGGAAAAGATCTTTGACACTCACTGATAATCTGCATTTAGGTTCTATTTTAGTTGTTCCATCTTTAGATTTTAATCTTTTGTCAGTTCCCCAAATAACAACAGCTTTATCTTATGTTGTCATTTTTTGGCCTGATTTTTGTGTGTTTAAGGACATCCAAACAAAGCAGACAATTGGTTGTGGTATTAGGCGAGGGAAACTGTATTACTTGGACTTGATGTCCAAAAGTTCTGACAAGTTACGATAAGCAATGACAGTGGATGGTTCTAAGGGGGAGAAAAAAAAATCTGAAATCTGGCTGTGGCATCGATGTTTGGGGCATGCTTCTTTTGGTTATCTGAAAAAATTATTTCCTAGTTTGTTTGCACAATTTGATGTTTCTAGTTTCCGTTGTGATGTTTGTGAACTAGCAAAGAGCCACCGTGTTTCGTATCCATTCTGTTTGCATAAAAGTCCATTTTCTTTTATGATTATACATTTTGATGTTTGGGGTCCGTCCAAAGTCACTACTTTAGGTGGATCCCGTTGGTTTGTTACTTTTATTGATGACTGTACCAAGATGACTTGGTTGTGCTTGATGACGTCCAAAGGTGAAGTGAACTTATTGTTTCAGAAGTTTCATAAAATGGTTGAAACTCAATACAATGCACATGTTCAGGCTCTTCGTAGTGACAATGGTGGAGAATATTAGAGTTTTGACCTTCAGTGGTATTTGGAAGCACATAAAACTATTCATCAAACCACTTGTTCCAATACACCCCAGCAAAACGGGGTTGCAGAGCGAAAAAATCGACACTTGTTGGAGGTTGTTCGTGCTTCATTGATAGAAGTGTATATGTCATTATCGTATTGGGGAGAAGCATTTACCTCTGCAACATATCTAATCAATCGAGTACCTTCCAGCTCTATTGCCTTCCAGACACCATTACAGGCTCTCACTGACGCAGTTGTTGCCCCAACCGTCCCAAATCTACCTCCTCATGTCTTTGGTTGTGTAGCATTTGTACACCTCCATAAGCATCAACGCAACAAGTTAACTCCTCGAGCATTGTGATGTGTTTTTCTCGAATATGTTACTCATCAAAAGGGGTATTGCTGTTATCACCCTCCAACTCGACGAATGTTTATCACAATGGATGTTGTCTTCCATGAAGACTTGATGTATTTTTCCTCTACGTCTGAACTTAAGGGGGAGTACCAAAACCGAGTTCAGACTCTAGATTATGATTATCACACTTTTGAGGATGGAGATTCTAGTGTTGATGACTCACAAGTTGGACCAACCAATCAGGAATCGGGCAAATTGGATTCGAGTGGTATAAGTTTGGATCAAAGTGGTGATGAACGCCCAGAAATGGAAAGTATGGCGCCAACTCCATCGTCGTCCAAGTTCGAGTCCCTCATAACTAATATATCAAACCAATCGTTTGCTGAGGATGTTCCTGATTTAGTGCCTGACCCACTCAAAAAATAATTACCACCGCGTCACACTAGAGGTATTCCTAAACCCACATATGAACCTGAACTTTCTAGTAAAGTTAACTATCCCATGAGCAATTATGTGTCGAACCATCGTTTGTCAGAATCAAATTTGTCATTTGTAAATCAATTATCTACTGTATCTATTCCTAACAGCGTGCAGGATGCCTTAGCTGACCCTAGGTGGAAAGCAACTATGAATGAGGAGAAGAAATCCTTGCAGCAAAATGAAACTTATGAACTCATTGATCCTCCACCAGGAAAGAAACTAGTTGGATGTCGATGGATTTACACTATGAAGTATAAAGCCGATGGCACAGTTGAATGCTTTAAAGTAAGATTGGTGGCAAAAGGTTTCACCCAAACCTATGGAATCGATTACACAGAGACGTTCGCACTTGTGGCCAAAATCAATACAGTTCAAGTCTTGTTGTCTTTAGCTGTGAACTTAGATTGGCCATTACAACAATTCGATGTGAAGAATGGCTTTCTGCATAGTGAATTATCTGAAGAAGTCTACATGGATCTCCCACCAGGATGCATGATACCCGCAAAGTATAGTCGGAAGGTCTGCAGGTTAAAGAAATCATTATATGGGTTGAAATAAGCTCCAAGACCATAATTTGGAAGATTCACAAAGTCTATTATAGCCTTTGGCTACCGTCAAAGCAATTCAGACCACACATTATTTCTGAAGAAACAATAGAGTAAGATCACTGCACTCATTGTATATGTAGATGACATGGTGGTTACAGGGAATGATCTTGAAGAAATGAAGGCTTTCAAGGAGTACTTGTCCAGA